CAACAACAACTTGCTTGTTCCAACTTTCAGGAATCTCAAAACACACAGTTTATCAGGAAGTCTCGGAGAAATAAATATGCAAAACAAAGACAATATATAGCACAGGTTATTAAGTGAAAAATGCTATTTTATAGATTAAACACACGTAGATATAAAAGAACAAATAATGTTTTTAGTGGTTACCCAAGTGCAGAAGATAAGCGCCTTTTTGACATCTTTTACGAGTGTATTTTTACATTTTCGTCAGTAGGTAATATAGTGGAGAGGGGCTGTGATAAGGAAATAGTAAAAGTAACACAGGTGTGCAAGTGACATGTGGAATAACTCTGGCATATTAAGCCAGTTAAGGAGAGGTGACTTTAGTGTCATTGGTAAGAACAGCAGCAAGAAAAAGTGACTTGGAAAAAGGAAATGACATAGGGACCATTGCTGACAAGATACGGTAAAAGGGACAAATTTAAATGTCCAGAGAGAAGGAAAGTGACTAAGAAAGAGAAAGTGGTATAGGTAGGTTCAATGGCAAGAGGAAGGGGTATGTATCTTGGGAAAAGGAAGTGACATGGAGACATTTAGTGACAAGAGGGGGAAATGTTACAAACCAAAATGGATATGGAGGAGGAAAGTGACTTGGAGAAGAATTGAGCATACACATATACTCAAACAAATATAAATATATTTTTCCATATAGAGATACTTTTCACCATTGTGTTCACACATTTACACCCCTGTATTCACAGACACATGCCACTTACACACGCACTCTTTATTCATAATCTCTGACACCCTATGCTTGGACATGTCATGAATCAAACCCAACATGATCTTTACAAATGTTTGAAGTTTCAGCAGCTAATGAGAATTCCCCCTAATTGAACAAACCAGCAGTGACTGAGCCAGAAGACGAGGTTGGCTTCCAGTTCATCTAATAGCACTACAGACAAACAAGGGTGAGATTGGCAATGAAACTATTTTTTTTTGTTTGTTTAAAATGTCTAAGGAATAACATGCAGAGTCAGTTGAATGGGATAGACACAAACACTACACATTGGGTAATAAGAATCTGAGCAATACATACCTTCAAAAATTTAAAATAAACAAAGAGTGACACTTTAATATCAGGCAGAGGTGGACCTATCAGTAGTGTAGTCAGTGCAACGGCACTGGGGTCCACCAGAACTTAGGTACTAACTGCAGGCCATCCTACAGTGGAGGACATGCAATAAGTGTTCGTTCAGTAAGGACCAGAGTGGGCTGGTGGGCTCTGTGGGCTGCTTTAGTTTGGAATTTGACTAATGGTTAATTGGGAGAAGCGAAGAATATCTACTTTGATTCACCGAGTGAAGCAGGGGCAGGACTAGAGGGTTCAATGCTGTGAGGCAGTGAAATCATGAGGGAGCATCAACTGCCACATGCTCCTTCTCAGTGGACACTATGAATGCCACCGAAATATGCTGACTCTTACTTCCAAATTCATACACATACCAATCATATAAATACATAACAGATATGTAATTACTTTAAATTAGGATAAAAAGTTGTTGCTCATCTTAAAATAAAGCATTTATTTTGATTATTTTGAGATCTTATGAGTGCATTCTTTCACGTTGGAGTAAAATGTTTCATTTTAAGGTCTTTATCTACTTGCACATTAGCACACTATTTCAACACAGTTATTAGAGGACTGTGAAATGTGAAATTGTTTTTGTGTGCTCGGGGGTGATCTACCTGGATCATATGTTTATTTCGTGTGACACTGATTTTAGTGGGTGTGTGAGTGGGGATGTGGGCAGGGCAATGGCTGTTATGAGAAATTTTAGGTGATTTACTAAAAACTATGCAACGTATAATATCCAACTAAAATGTAATTTAGAAGGATGTATCATATTTATAGAGACTGATTTCAAAGCACATGTATTCTACTACAGACAATTTACTGTGAGTATTATCATTCAACCCTCCACACACCATATATAATGTCCTGTGGTACAGCAATGTGCAGTGTAACTCTGTAATACACTCATTTACAGTACATACTGTATTACAGAGTCCCATTGCAGTAAAACATGCATTAACGTGCATTGTTGATGAGCAATTTTTTTTTTTAATCTATCAAAATGTGCAATATTTTCCACAATACCTTGAGATGCAACATAGGGTCTTTTCAGACCCAAAGTATCTCTTATTAGTAGGAAACTCCAGATGATGACATCATCGAAGTATCCGTGCAACCTGCATGGTGTACATAACTTGTTTTTCCCAGTGCGAAATTTAACTTGTTTTTCACTGTACGTTAGTCACAGCTTCAGCTGTTATCTCTGTATGTCTGATCATACATGGTTATCAGACATTAGCCTCTGACTGAATCCTGAACACCCTGCATGTTCTCCCTGTGATATAAGAGATGATTTTGTAGGGGTGTAGCCAAATGCAAACGTTATACTTCTTTATGTTTAGGGGATGTAACTGCACTAATTTTAGCACTTGTCACATCTGATGGGTCAGCTTTGCATCACTAAATCTGGTCCTGGCAAGCGGAGGAAATTCCCAGGTATTTATTGATAGCTCAGTCTCCTTGGTGCAAGCAGGGATTTATCTCCACTTGTACTAAAACACCTGGACATTCCATACTATCCACTATTTTTATGATGGCATAGAGCATCCTAATGAATAAAGGGATTACAAAACCTACCAGTGTTCTTCCCAAGAGCGGACTCTGGATTTAACCTTGTTTAGACTAATACATTTTGTGAATGTCAGTTCAGATATAGTCATGCTAAGCTAACAAGCACAGTTTGCCGCAGGTGACTGTAAATTGTACATTTGCAAGAAAAAAAACAACAGAAAATGGACTCATTTTAAATACATCCACATTTATTGCCATCCTGTGGCAATAAATAAGTAGGCAGGGAGGTGTTTTTGTTTATACTCAACTGGGCCTCTAATAAAACTACAGTATAGGTATCTTTCGCTCAGTTAATTTTCTTATTGGGAGATATAAAGCTGGAATAGGCGTGGACTGGCCAGAAGGGGTCATGGATGTCATTCTGGAGCATGTATAAACTTGGCTTACAACAAAGCCAACCCAGCAAAGGCAACCAACCAGATTGGCCCATATGCAGAGCCCCTCTAACACACTCTTGTAATTGCCCTGGAATAGCTTCACAAAACAACTCAACCAAAGTCAAGACTGCCCTAGTAGACTGGGGAAGTTGGAAGGTATGCTTTAAAATTGTGACCAAAGAAGGGCACCAGAATCAAAGCAAATAAGCAAATATTTGTAGCTTAACTATTGATGTCTCTATGATGTACATGGGTACTGAATGCCCAAACTTAGATACTCCAATTAAAATTTTACAGTCTACAGGTAATTAATGGTATACAATACATAATTATCTTAGGTACCTTAGTTCTGGAGTCCATTATTTCAGCTGCTTTAAATGCCTCCCTAAGAAATTATCTGGAGCTGAGTCAGTTTCATAGTACATTATTATTTAGTTCTGCAGACTGCATAGCTACAGATTTTCTACCATTGCACAATTTAACCCACTAACCGAGAGCAATTGATTTACAAACAACTGACCTATATGCCTGCTGGCAACTAGTTGCCCTTTATCTCTTATGGCACCATATGTTCGTGACAACTTTACCTACTGATAGCTCTGACTCACGATAAAACTGTTGCCATGATTGTGACACAATTTATCTGATAAAGAGCCAGAAGAACCGAGGTGACTATGACCTTTCAAGTATGGTTGGAGTACAAATCTTATCACCGCAACTCGAACAGCGAGGGTTTCGGTATGTGATCTACTCTGCATTTTGGGATATCAGACTAGATTTGTTTTGGAGACACTATCCAATTTATACTTTGCTTATGAAATTATAGCCTAAGCAATATTAGACTAGTGACACACTTCAGATAAACAAATGTATGATTCATGAACAGTGCAGCCAAAGGCAACAATAAATATGAATCATCGGATAAAACATGTGGATAATAACTTAAACACTTGATTTTACCTTTGTACCTGCTGAAATGTCACCGTTTAAGACCAAACCAATTATTCTCCATTAGCAATGCAAATCTGTACCAAAAAAAGTGAACAGGATATGTCTTAGGTTTGTGACGTAGTAATGACTTCATAGCGAATCCTAGTATGTATGGATATTTGAAGATTCTATGCAACTTATACACTTCAATATCGTTCACTAATACTCCCTGTTCCAAATTATTATGCAAATTATATTTTTCTCATTTACCTAAATAATTGATGTAAATAACAGTCAGCATAATTCTCATGTTATCAACTATGAAGAGTACAATTCAAATTTTATTGAACAAACCTCCTAATGATAACAGTATTTTTTTTTAAACATAATAAACTTACAATGCACTGTTCCAAATTATTATGCACAGTGTTTCAAAACACTTTATAGGTTGTAAAGAACTGAAAATTTTCATTTGTTGTGTTTGCAGCATATTTACTGAAATCAAAAGCTATTTCAATCAAACTTATAACAACATTTGAACTTTTTAAACATTTTAACAGGTATTTGATAGCAGCTTCACAAGTCTTGCATCCATTGAACGTGTGAGTTTTTGGACAGTTTCTGCTTGAATTTTACCACATGACAGGAGGCTTCATATTTGCATATCTTTCTTTACTGAAAACTCCAGCAGCATAGAAACATAACAACCAATCAGAAAAAAGTTATGATGCCCATAAAAGGCCCTGTCTATGACATCACTTCCTCTTTCTTTGCTGCTCCAGCCAACATCAGGTCAGAGTATTTTGCCTCCCTGGCAATTGCTTACATATATTGTTTGTTTCTCTGTATTTTGGATTGTATTGTTCTATTATTTACCTAAGTTAATTTATTTATGTAGCTAACTTATTTATTTAATTTATTTATTTCATTATTTATTTATTTAGTTTTTTATTTTCGCTGTTCCCTTCTCCCTGTCCCTGCAGTTTCCTTTTGGGCCCCTATTACTTTTTTCACTGCCGGTACCCGCGAGCAACGGCTGTCAGTGCCGCGCGCCGCGGGCCGGCTAACGTTTTCCTTTTGTGGGGCCGGCAAGGGGACGGGTGGAGGGGGACTGGGAACTGCGTTCCCTCGTCGTTCCGGCGCCGCGCGGTCGATCGCGGCGCTCCTTCACACGCGGGCGGCGGCCATCTTGCATCTCGCGGCTCGCGAGATACCGGACGGCCGCCTTCCCCGCTTGCCCGGCGGATCAGTAAATCACCCGACCGCCGGGCTCCACATCTGTATACCCTCCCTAGTATGTACTAAGGGAGGGATTTAGGTTACAGTGGATTTTTTGCCTTTCAATATTTATATTTGCCCAGTGCCTGCCTGCTGTGCTGCCTATCTATTATAAATGCATGCTTTAAAGGGACAAGCATTCCCCCCTTTTTTGCCAACTTCAGACCTTTATGTCTCTATGCCCTGCTTAGGGTCATATCAGCTACTATACCCCAATTAGGGTTATACTAGACATGGTTATAATCTCCTCAGGATCAGATGGCATACTGGAAAAAAAAAAAAAAAAAAAAATTATATACAATTATTATTTTTATTCTCATGAGCAGGCACACAATCTATGTATTATTGTGAAGCCATACAATATCACAGTCGTTATACAAAACATATACTGTACCTATAACAAGATCAACTATATCACTGTACCCTACGAAGGGCATATTGTGTTACGTACCCTACAAAGGGCATATTATACTATATTATTGTACCCTACAGAGGGTCATATTATATTACTGTACCTGACGGTGCAAATTTATGTGGGTGTCCTCTGGGTATTTTTTCATGGCACACCACCTGGGGTGACCCCCCAGATATGCATGCAAGGTCACTGACAGACCATTACCTTTTGATGTGGGTGTCCTCTGGGTTACCATGGCACACCACCCGGGGTGAACCCCGATCATATGCATGGAGGCCTACGCCTCAACTTTACCACTGATTACTACAGACATATATGGATGTTTTACCCCTTGACTATGGATGTTTAACTTTTGGAATAAAAGGGAATCATGACATGTCACACATCTCATGTGTCTCTAAGGGGTTAAACACTACCTGTCAGTTTTACATTAAAGCAACAGTACCATGCCGGATGCGATCTGACAACAGGATCACTAAGAAAATTGAGTGTATTGCGGTGTACCCTTCACAGGGATACATATATGTATATTTACTGCGCCTAGTGTACATATGGAACGTGGGTGTCCTCTGGGTAATTTTTCATGGCACACCACCTGGGATGACTCCCAGATATGCATGCAATGCTTGTAAGGCGCCAATAAATATAATATGGGTGTCCTCTGGGTTACCATGGCACACCACCTGGGATGAACCCAGCCTAATAGACATGGGTCCTGCGGCTGCAGACCTTATGGAGACAGGCCCCATGCACCTTTATAGTAAGCCTGTATAGTTAAAAACCGTGCATATAGCTCTGGCGTACATTTGTGGTGAACCCGGCTAGCCAGACCGACACCACTACCAGTCAATCGCGCCTGCACCACGGCTCTCAGTAACCAGATTAAACTAATAGAGGTGACCCCTCTTTTTACCTGGGTGATCCCCAGTTCTACCAGGAGTCTACCACCCCTATGTGCTGACCCTCACACTACCTCCCAACAGGGCGGGAACGAGTCATGGTGGACACTCTCAACGTTCCCAAGATTTCTAGACAATGATAAACGCCACAGTAACGGCCTCAGTGGAGAAGGTTCTGTTATGATCTCCAACCCACACCGCTTGATGGAGACCTCAGGCCCACAAGCCTTTAAGTCAAAACGGCAAGGGAAGGGCTCCAGCCTCCCTGCCACTAAGGTCATGGGCAAGATGCCCATCGAACAGACCAAATAGGCGGAGCACCGGGAATCCAAACCCCGCCCGCCACAATCTTTTCCGACAAAGAAGACTATTACCCACCACGTAATTTGGACACGGTAGATGAGCAACACGAAGACAGCTCACCGTCTGAGGAAATGGAACGGCAAGACCTCCCCCACACTTCCTCGAAGTACGTTAGGGAAACCTTACTCCGTAACGCTGGCTGAGGCAGAGATAACTGTAGCGACACTAAACCAGAGTAGCCGAAGACAGAACGTTCCTGGACGAACACTATTGGCTGCGCAACCCTCGGGGGATGGAAGGATGCGCACGCCTCAAGACCGAGTTACCCCAGGGTACACAACTCAACCCTACCACCTCCAAAGAATGGTCTCAATGCTCGATATGCCTCCTGGGCAACGTAAATGATGCACTATGCGCCGACAGACGCAAATCTGTACTGGGCCGCATCGACAACACACTATTGGATCTAGGAACGACAAGAATTCGGCCCAAAAGCACAAGGCCTTCTATTCGACGTAGTGTTCATTGCAGTACTCAAAAAACACGTGAATTTATTCACCACACTAAACCCAGACCTCGCTAAAACAAGTCTTCCACAACCCTACGGGGAAAGGTGTTTCTGGGAGGATTGGTCGGTAGCTGATCCGAGCCACCAGCCGCTTCTGGGCGACAGGTTCCAGATCGTACACACAGTCCTCATATTTCTCCCATCTACTACACAAAAGAACCCATCCGCTTCATCTACTAGTGTGTCAACCTACATAACTACCTGTTTTCCAATATTATGACCGGCAACCTGTCTCTGTTTTACAGAATTGGGAGACGACTACCAAAGTCACCTGGGTTCTCCAGACAGTACAAGGTTATGTCATAGAGTTTTATCACAGCCGTGCAGGTCGCCCCTTCACCTCCATTACGCACGCTGGCGGAACAGGAACACCTCGTGGACAGGAAATTCTGCACCCTCTTCAGGAGGTGCGCAACTCAACACGCAACGGAGGGGAAGGCTTCCCCAGCAAAAAATTTTCCTGGCCAAGAAGAAGCCAGGAGACTACATCAATGGAACTCCTACACGGTATACAAATGCTGCAAGATGAAGGAAATTCGTCTGCTACAAGACCTCCTAGGCGATAACGACTGGTTTACACATCTGGACCTCAAGGACGCACGCTTGTCGGTACCCGTTGCCCTGGACCGCCGAAGTTTTTCCTCCGATTCCGATGGTGAGGACAAACACGGCAGTTTACGACTCCGTGGTGCTCGCGAACCTACGGTAACCAGTGAGGGCACACATCCGTAAATTTGGGCGTACGATGCCTCGTATACCTGGAAGACTTGCTGTTTCTTTACGAATCCAGACTGCATTTGCAGACAAATTTGTCGTTCACTTTCGGGACTCCATGGATTTTTCGTTGTACACAGACAAAGATCGCTTCTCCATCTGAATCGGGCCAGTTCCTCAGTTTCGACATCGGCTGGGAGGACTACGTTCCGCGTCAGTCTACGGCAAAGAACACCTCTATAAGGATAGCTGTCGGATTGTGGCATTCCTCTCCTCCTCCATACAAGCGTAATTCCATGGCCCACTACGACTGAGGGTGAGATACGTACGCACCGGTCACTCATACGACCACTGGATCCCACTGTCAACGGAAGTGAGGATGGAATTTCGATGGTGATTACTTCACATACAAACTTGAATTGGCAAGACGATCTTTGACTCTTCCTTCGGATACGGGGCGATGGATGAACCCCTGCAAACGCGACCCAACCGTTCTCCACAATAGCAAGGGTGCTTCGATACACACACACACCCACAGGATATCGCTCCTGCTCATGACACCCCTCGGGCAGGGCCAACCGTGATTTCCAGGATCGCCTGGAGATGTCTCGCGAAGACCCTCTACTACTCCCTACCTTCCCTCTACTTCTGACGGGACCTCGAGGGGAAGCCCACTCCCTTGTCATGGAAGGACAACTGGCACTAGTTGCCTGGACGGCTTCAGGGGCTCCTGGTCAGATCACGACCTATTGCATCAACTAAGACCTCCTATGGGACTCCAGGCACCAGGAAAGGCTATATTTCTGCCTGGTCGGCCTGGAGTGATTGGTGTGAGGGAAGGGATTCCGATCCCTTTACCGCACCTGTCCCACTGATCCCCAACTATCTGTCACACCTGGTCTCGTTGGGTCGGTCATATCGATCCCTCAACGTGATCAGATCCGCCATGTCGGCGGCGCACGTTCCGGTACAGGGCAGACCAGTAGGTCAAGATACACTGGTTTGTCGACTACTGCGGGGTGCCGAATTGTCGAGATCCCTGCACCCAAATATTCACGCCTCTGGCAGGTGGATGTGGTGCTGAGATTCCTTAGGGAATGGCCGGACAAACCTTTGTTTGTCACTGAAGCAACTTTCAGCCAAACTAGCCTTCTTATTATGCCTCGCCTCATTTAGACGGTGGCGGACGTTAGGGCTTGCGATATGGATGGTTTCTCTCTCACACCAGATGGGGTTACCTTTACCATGTCGAGACAACTAAGTCGGATTCGTCTTCAGTGTCATACCCATGCTTTGTGTCAGACGCCACACTATGCGTGGTCAGAACGCTAATGGGGTACACCAATATCTCTACCCCCTTCGAACTCATTCGACGGATCACCTTCTGACTTCTTACGTGAACCCTCATGGACCGGTGTCTACCGCAACACTGGCCAGATGGGTCCGCTGGTTTTTGTCTTTAGCGTCGAACCTTGTTTCGGAGCCCACTCGGTCAGGGGAGCGGCGGCCTCACAAACCTTTTCGGCCGACGCTTCCCTAGCCGACATTATACGCTGCGCGGACTGAGCGCGAGAGAGTACGTTTAGAACGTTCTATTTTCGGCAAACATCTCATGCTTCCTTCACATTGGTCAATTCAAAGCTTTAAAAATGCAAATATGAAGCCTCCTGTCATGTGGTAAAATTGAAGATTATATTAGCTTTAGTGTACTAATAATCTTAATTTTAGTAATGACAGGAGGCGAATATTTCCCACCCTATAGGATCCCTCCCATGTTTCTCGTGTTGAACAGAATATGTCCTTTATGTTCAGGAAGGTAAGTACGTATGGTTTGTATGTTTGCTACTTAGACCTGTATCTTGTGGGTCTTGTATTGGCTGAATATTAGGCATGAACCTTGCATTATGTTGTGTTTATAGATTCTTAAATATCATTGCGTTAGAATAAATATATATTGATATGTTTCACATTCTAATGTTCGCTGGTATATCAGATGCTTAATGCTTATTGTACGTGGACAAGTTATCACGCCAGATACCTTTCACCTTTTTCTTTTTCTTGCAGCGTGAACGTCTTCTCATCGAGACAAAGATTCACCTTCCATACCTCTGCATCGCGGAACTA